GCCCGCCTCGGCCTCCCAGAGTGCTAGGATTACAGGCGTGAGCCCGCGCGCCCGGCCAAGACAAAGGTTTTTAAAGGAAAAAATAAGGATGATTACATAATTGTTTTGAAATAATTACCCTTGGCTACAAAGATCAATAAAAAAGATGGTGCCAGTCCAAGGTTGGACAGGCAGTTACTGGGCAGATGCCCTTGCAGAAGTATTTTTTGAGGAAGGTTTTGATGGCCTTGTGCAAGGTTGCAGTTTTTGCAGAGTCCTTTGTGATCGTTTTTATTATCAGACATGTATGATAGGGAACTCTCCCTTCGTGGCTTTTCCCAGCCCTGCTTGTCAGGATCCCCCCACCGCACCTCCAGTGAGTCCATTTTAAGTCTGACAACTTTCACAATTCCCCAGGAGCTTGAGACCAGCCTGGGCAACATAGCAAGACCCCCTCTCTAAGAAAACAATTTTCTTAAATTAGCCAGGCATGGTGTTGTCGAAACCACAAGGGGAGTTCGGTCTGGATCCAGTTGCTCATCTCACAAAGATCCAATTATTGAGACAACAAGAATTGACAAGGAAGAGAGGAATTTTTAAAAATATGACAGACATTTTGCCAGGAGAATGGCAGAAGCTGCCTCAAATCCGTCTCGTCTAAGACTAAGGGAGATAATACGCTTTTTAAGGGGGAAGCGTGTGCCTTGGGGTGGGTGCTGGTGTATCTCACAAGGAGCTATATGCACTGGAGGCAGGTTGTGAGGAAGGCGAATCGTGGCGTCACAAGTCTGCCCAGGGAGCTTCGGAATCTTAGGTCCTTGTTCTTGCAGAAAATCCACCTTTTCTGGAAACAGCTTAAAGGTCAAATAGTTAGTTGAGGAAAGGCATTGAAATTTGTTAAGTGGAGGACCAGTTACAACACTGACCCACACCTGTAGTCCCAGCTACTCAGGAGGCTGAGGTGGGAGGACCACTTGAGCCTTGAGTTTGAGGTTGCAATGAGCTATATGATCACGTCACTGCACTTCAGCCTGGGCTACAGAGCAAGAACCAGTCTCTTAAAAAAAATAATAAACAATAAAAGGGTAAATACCAAATAAAATTAACAGTAATATGACAATCCCAGATTGCGCAATGGTTTTGAACCATGAGCCTAGGCTGAAAGGCAACCAATTGAATCAATCAATCAGATAGCTGTAGGCAATTAGGTGAGACTTGTTGCAA